TGCATGGCCAGGCTGCTTTTATTTTCTCCTTTTTCCTCAGCAAGTCAAATGATTAAAAAAATAATAATTACCAGTGATTCTGGTAAATGAGGTTTCGCTCTATAAGGCTCATTCAGCCAGTGCGGAAATGCAGCTACCTCTGTGATGGAGTGCGGTGACCACCTACTAAATGCAAAAGCTTGAAAATGGGYAACTTCCAACAAAAATCCAGCTTTTCATGTCTATACAAAAGGAACGACTGGCGTTTTCATATGATAAGGAGACTGATGTGGTACCAAATTTCTATGTTCATARAATAGGAAGCTCAAAACTTCCCACTCATAACAGTACTGCATCTGTTGAGCTGATAGCTGCATCACAGGAAAAAATAGGGGGGAAAAAGTGACCGGTTTACTGTAGTTATCTCCATATAACCTTCCAGCGGCCAGATATGAGGAGTAAGACAAAGCGGACCGCTGCAAGCATTCATTTACCCTTGCAGCTGCAGGAACATTGTCTGTAACCTCTGCTTTATAAGCCTGGCCTTTATTTGCAATGATGAAAAGATGACAATACCAGGTTTGTGTCTGATGGCCAAGAATCTGAGTTTAAAGGGTATATTCCTTATAACGAAGCCCTGTGTGACCCAGTTGCATTCTTTGCTTGGCTGAAGGCAGCCAAGTCTTTGAGACTGCGCCTCGAGACTGCGCCGAGAGTGCGCCCTGCTGCAGGAAACTCAATGGCAGCCTTGGATTCAGCATTAACTAAACAGGAGGATCCCTGGTAGGATCCTGAGTGTGCACCAAAAAGTGAGAAGATGCAGGTTTGGCCACGCAGACGTTTGCTCGTTGGGTGCCGCGCAGGTCACCCAGCCTTCACTGCAGACCACGCAGCGGCACTGTGCTCGGTCACTGAGAACACGCTGCCGGGAGAGCTGCTCTACGCTCCTCACGCTTCTCCCTAGAACCATTATGGATCCTCCAGGAATTCCGCATTTTACATCCTGTTTGGTGGGAAAGGTAGGGGGAAATTCACCARTGGCATTGGCTGGGGTGTTGGTTCTTTGTGAGCTCTTTATGGAAGGATTACACTGATTTTCAAAAAGTAGCTAAATACTGTTGTTTGTGTTTTGCAGCTAAATACTGTTGGTTTTATTTTGCAGGTGTTACAACTACTGCATGAGAAGTTGTTCTGATAGACCCACATCAGCCAGAACACTAATGGCAGAACAGTAAGAAAAACCTGATCTCCTACTATGCCATTCTTTGCTCTGAGATACAAACCTGCCCGTGGCCACTGGAATTGGTCACAGGCTCAATATTTCCTTGTAGAGTAAGCGCATTTCCCTGGCTATCATAACCTGAATCAATGTGTGACTCTTCCCGTACATATTTATAAAAAACACATGATTAATAGAAGTTTTAACTAGGAATCATTAGCCAGTTGTATAAAATGTAACAGGAAACATATCCCCAAATGAAGCACATAACACAAGAAATTAATGTATATTCAAAACCTAAGAGAAAATAGAAATACATTTGAGAGCTTTACTGAGGTAAATGCCCACTAAGCTCCATTCCCTGCCGTGGGATAGCGGATCTGCTCTCAGAATTCCACAGTCTGGGATGTACCCAGAAGGCTGACTGTTCGGTAGTGTAACTCCGCAGTCCTTTGGCTTCTGCATTCCTTGGAAAAGCACTGACAGAGAGCCCCAAGCTCTGAAGGCGGCAAAGCGGAGATGAAGGCACAGATTGTCTCCAGGCAAATTGTTCTGCTCTGCCTTGGTGGAACGGAATGGAATTCATGTATTTAAGAGAGGCAGAGAATAGGGCTAGAACTACAGCAGCTCTTGCATCTCCATGCATGTATGTCCAGTATGTGCCTACTCCTGCTCCTGCCAAAGCACATGGTCTAATWCCAAAGATCTTACTCAAACTGATTATCCCCTGAAATGTGCATTCTTAGCCTAACTGTCCACGCTGCAAACAAAGCAAAAATTCTCATTAACATCTGCTGCCAAGTCCGTTCTTGGGAGGCCGCCGCAAGGCTCGCAGCAGTGCCTACATGAACCCGGTGGAAGTGTTCTAGCCTGCAGTGACCAAAGGTAACTTGTCTGTAGCCATAGGGTAGGTGGAGAAGTTCTCTTAGGACGCCCCGTGCTCCAGAGATTTGCAGCAAGCCCTAACTGCTTACCAGAGAATTAAGAGTTTCTGTCACTCAGCTGCTTCTCCGTTACATGTGCTGCATATGTGTGTGTATGTTTACATATATACTTGTGTGTATATATATATATTAATGTGTATGGGTGCATACATGTACACAATAGGCTTATAATGTATAGCACCCACTGTATGAAACGGGGACAGGAAGGTCCCGTTGCAGAGAYGAGCGCTTTGCCTCGATGCTCTGTTTTCACCAGCTTTACCTAGTAACTAATCCACTGTCTAGATTTTTTGCCTCCGTTAAAGCAAGGCAACCACATAGCGAAGATAATTTTTTTGCTGATTCTTGGAGGAGTAGTTAAGACTTTTTTTTCACTGTAGTTTGTATCTGCCTTATATTTGCATGAGGCTGAGATCACGAACTTACTGACATGTCTTGATATCGTCTAAATTCACCCCATTTGTAGTCTCAAGATGGTAAAACCCTCACCGAAGTAGTTCTAATGGTTCTGGATAACGGGCCAAGGCATCTTTCCTGTGGAAGTGCCACATTTTGAGAAATACGAAGATAGGTATTTCTATCAGATTGGTTTTAAAAATTGGCGTCTGCCCGAAGTTGCTCAGGGAATGAGAACGTTCGAGTAAGTCCCATTTATGGGCACGCAGTAGGGAAGGGGAGCACAAGGAATGCGCCGTTACAAATGATTGCCCAGTTCTGTGTGTTTGCTTTGGCAATGGGGGACAGCAAAATGTATATTTGAACTGTGAACTTAGCCCCGGCTTTGTGTTTTGGGAGCTGGTTACTGATTCCTGGGTGCCGGCAAAGGCGGCGCTGCCGCCCGCGACAGCCGGATCGGGCCTTTCCGCACTCGCTCCTTCCTGTTCCGCGGGAATTTTTTTGCAGCCCAACGTCCTGCTCTCACCTAGCACAAACCCACCGATTTTCTGACCTGGGCTATTCTGGGTTCATTTCCTCACAGATACGCATTTGGGGAAGCCCCACGCAAAGGCGAGCACTGCAAAGCTGAGCCGGAGTTTTTCAAAGGAATGGGGAAAGTCTTAATCACACGGAGCCAAAATGTCCTGTGCCTTGGTGACTACACGCTCAAATGCCATCACTGTCTGAATCGAATGGGGTGGGTCACAGCTGAGCCCTTTCGATACAATAACATTTAGCAGTTGCAAAGCGCTTGTCCTTTTCACAGCGCTTTCTAAGTGCAGACTCACAGACACCTGTTCCCTCCTCCCTCTGGCAAGGATCGGTCCTTGTTTCCAAGGTGGGAAGCCAGGGTGCAACCCCCGAGCCCGGCCGCAAGCTCRTGGCAAAGGCAAGAGCGGAGTCCCGCCGGACACGGCAGCCGCGGGCGCCRCGCTTGGGAAGCGAAAGGCTGGGACTTGGGCGACGTTCGGTCGCCAACATTCTTGGAGCTAGAAATATGTATGTGCCAACCCCTAGAACTGAATGGAATTCCACGTTTCCCAGAAAACGGGATTCTGTTCCCGCAAAGAACAGAATTCCCAGCCTTTCGTGAGCTCTCCTCTCCCCAGCTTGGTTCGTTGCAGGGAAAAGCTGCCTGTCCTTCCACAGCTGCCTCTGCAAGGTGTCTGAATGTCAAACCGTTATTATTTCAGTACCTGACTGAGAGAGTAACAGAGACCTGGAGGTTTTTTAGGAGGGTGTATAATTAGCCGATCAGTATTATGTTACCCTGTTCATAACTTAATAACCATTTTAATACAGATGGCACACACAGGGATAATTTCCTAGGGTAGCCTAGCAGTATATTACAGAGACAGTGTGTCTGAGGGAATCTTCCCTAGCCAAGGTACATTCCACTAGCTAATTCTACCTGCTGTTTTCAAGATGATTTGGGATAATTCCATATCATTTGCAAAATATTAAAACCCATTTATATAGGATGCCAGATTTAGAAATACACAGCCTGAGTTATTAGACATATTTTGATAAATCTGCTACGAAACGTGCAAGATAAAAAATACCACTCTGCTTTCCCTGCTATTTATTTTTGTTTCYCTTGCTATAAATTCACCAGGTTTAAAAAAAAAATCTGGCTAAACTTGCAATATATCAAAAAGATCAGCGTACCGACTCATGCATATTTTTATCTATGAGGATACTAAAGGAGACTGCGTGTGTCTTATACCCTAAATACATTTATTTGGGTGGGGAGCTCTGTGCTGGGACTGTGTGCAAAATCTCCTGCATTCCCATTCCCTCCCGTGCCTGGTTTTTCTCCGTGTGAACAGTTCATGCACTAACGGGGTCCTGCGTTTCTGTGCTCGTGGCCGGTGCGTGTGAAGGGGCTAGAGCCCAGCAGCGGGTGACTGTGACGGGTGCGTGACGGGCGCCCGCGCAGGCAGCGTGCGGAGGAGCCCCTGTGCGCGGTGCGTGTGAGCAGAACRAGCGCTGCAGCCTCTTCCTATCGGTGATACCTATTGCAGCCCTTTTATTTTTTTCTTTTTCTTTTTTTTTTCTCTCTCTCTACATCAATCATTTCTTATCTGTCATACAGTTATTTTTGCCACCTCAAACCCAAGACCAAATCGGAGCGCCTCACGACAAACACCTCTCCCTGCACATGGCAAGGCCGCGGGCCATCCTCCCAGGCCGAGCCCGGCTCGGCACCTTTGTAACCCCCGGCAGGCTCGCTCRGGAAGCCCGGGAATGCTGCAGAGGGACAGGGAAAAGCGCGGGCGGGGGCTGCCGCCCCGCGCCGTGCCGAGCTGTGCGGCACTGACTGTGCAGGAGGCACCGCGCTCTCCCCGCAGCCTCTGCGGTGGTTTGGGGGCCGTAGAGGGGCGCGCGGGCRGAGGCGGGGGCGGCAGGGCTGCCCTTACCTGTTTATGGACGAGACGCTGGGCACCGTGTCGTTGTCGCAGATGCCCTCGGCCAGTAGCCTGTCACGGATCTCCCAGGCGAACATGGTGGGGTTTTGTCTCTTGTACTCGGCGATTTTATCCACAACTTTGGGGGTGGCCACTTTGGGTTTAGAGCCGCCGATCACGCCGGGCTTGATGCTCCCCGTCTCATAGTACCTGCCCCGCCGGAGCACAAAGGGCCGCGGTTACCTGGCGTGCCCGGCGCGCCCGGCCCCGCGCGGCCCCGCGCCCGCCTCGCCCCGGCCCCGCGCGCTGCCTTCGTTGGCGCCATCCTAATTTTTGTTTGTTGGTGCGGAGCGAGAAGCGCGGGGGCTTCGGCTCCCGCATCTCACGCACCTCCCTCGTCCCGCGCCGGTTTGTGCCCCGCGGGAGCCTCGCTCGCGCTGCCGGCGCTGCGGGCAGCAACGCGGAGTGCGGGTCATTCCCTCCCGTGTCCCTGCCCGGGGCGGGGGCGTTTGGGGCAGCCACGTCCCGTGTCCCTGCGACCATGAGCAGTGCGCGGGGCCCCCGCTCCGCCACGTGCTAAGCGGCGGCGGCGTCGCGGGGGAGCGCAGCGCAGCGCGCCCGCGCAGGGAGGCTGCGCGCCCGGGCTGCCCCGCGGGGCCCTCCGCGCTTTGCGGCGCCCCGTTCCCTCCGCGGCTTCTGCCTCTGCCCTTCTCCCTACCCCTCTGCTCCCGTGGGTTTTGCCAAGGCCGCCGGCGGCGGCTGAGACTTGGAGTGGGTTTTTTTTAGGTTTTTTTTTTTTKRWTTTTTTTTTCTGTTTAATTTTTCCCATTTATTTGCTTGTTTTCCAGACCGTTTTTCTTTCCCCCTCCCTGTCCCTTCCCTTCGCCGCCCTCCCCGCGCCGTGCGCACGTCCCCCCCCGCGGTTCGCGAGCCCCGCGGCGGGCGGGAGCCGCCGCTCTCCTCCCGCGGCCGCCGCGGGCAGGGCCCGAGCCGAGCCGGGGGGCTGCCCCTTCCCTTACCTGCCCAGGATCTTGCTGACACAGCCATGACTGACCCGCAGCTGCCTGGAGATGTCGCAGGGTCGCACCCCCTGGTGCGCCAGCTCCACTATCCTTTGTCTCACCACGTCAGGTAGGGGCCTGCCGTTCACAAACACCCCCCCGAGCTGGTTCACACCCCCGTGCCCTGCTGGGGAAAGAGAAAGGAAAAAAAAAAAAAAAAAACAAACACAACAACCCACGCACATCAGAAACAGACCGTTAGCCGTGGGCTCTTCGCCGCTCGCGCTGCAAAATCTCCATTGACCAGAGATGGATGGGGGTGATGGCTGAGGGTCGGGAGGGGGAAACGGGAGGCGACAGAGAGGGAGAAAAGGAGGGGAAGAGAGAAGAAGAAAAAGAGAAGGAAAAAGAAAAATAGAAAGGAGGAAAAAAATGAGCAAAAGAAAGGAAAAAAGCGAAAGAAAAAAAGAGCAAGTGAAGGAAAATAAAAAGAAATTTTAAAAAAGTGAAAGATAAAAACAAAGACAAAGAAGGAATGAAAGGAATAAGGAGAAGAAAAGGGAAAAAGAAAGGAAGGAAGGAAGAAAAGGCGGGAGAAGAAGCCGAGACGGGAGAGGAAATTTTCCCGAGTTGCAGGGATTTCCCCTCGGCCGCCGCCTCCCTCCCGGCCGGCGCGCGCGGCGCCGCGGCGGCTCCCGGGCTCTCTCCGGCGGGGACGGGGCCGGTGCCCGGAGCCGTCTCCGCTGCCCCTTCCCGCAGCGGGCGGCGAGACRGGGTCCGGGGCCCCGGGCAAGACCCGCTGCCGGCCCCACTCCCGCTTTTTTTTTTTTTTTTTTTTTTTTTTTCGCACTCGTTTTGGGATTCTTTCCGCGATTTCAGTCTAGGCGGTGGGTTAGGGTCCCTGGCGGACCCTGCCCTCCCTCTCCCCGCAGCCTGTGCCCCGCACAGCGCCTCGTCCCCGTTTATTCTCAGATGTGAGTTGAAGGGGTTAGGGGAGAGAGAAGGAGAAGGAGAAAGAAATGGAGAAAGAGAAAGGGGGAGAGAGAAATAAAGAAAAATATTTTGTGTCCCGCAGTCGATGTTCATTTACAGACAACCCTTGTTCTCATCCGTTTTCTATCTTTAAGMGCAAAAAATCTCTAGTAATAAAATCTAACAGACTCCCGCCGCTCCCATCCAATTCGGGAGAACTGGAAATGCTCTATTTTCGCTTTTCTAAACAAAATCGCGCTCGCTCTCCTGGAGGGCTGCTAGGTCGCTTTTCTCGATTCACCTTCCTCCATTCGGAGCAATAGCTCGGGAGGAGGGAAGAATAACGGCGTCCCCGGGGGCCGCGGAGCGAGTGCCGGGGCCGGGGGCCGTGTCTGCTGCGGGGCTCGGGCCCGGCGCGGAGCCTGCGCGTCCCGCGGCCGCGCCGGGCTCGGCCGCGCCGGGGCCGCTGCCTCCGTGCGCGGGCGGCCGCGGAGAGCTACGCGCTGCGGCTCTGCCCTTGCGCAGCCCCAGCCTCCCGCATCCTCCTCGCAAAGAGATCTCACTTCGGTTTCGCAGTTTGCTGAAAAATGATCTGTTTGTGTTTTCGCTGGATTTTTTTTCCTCTTCCCTGCTTCTGACACTGACTTATTGGCTCTGAACTTAGTGGAAACTCTCATTGCCCTGCGATCGATCCGAGCCCTTTCTCACAAATAGAGTTTTTTCCGTCTCCCCCACCCCTTCCCGAGCACCTCGACATCCCCAGGCGGGAGCCGCTGCCTCCCCGTCCTTCCCGGCGCCCGAGGAACCCACGTTATTTGTTGCCCTCTTTTGTCACGCTTTCGTAAAACATATTTAGTGCCGCATGGGGAAGGGGACATATTTATCTTTCTCCACTAAAACCTGCGGCTCGACATTACTGGGTGTTTTCTTCATTTGTCCAGAGCCCCTTCTGCACATGTTGCCTCTAAAGTTACAAGACAGCAATTTCTTCGGCAACTCGATAATAAATAATTCAAAACACCTTTGATAACTCGCATTACAAAGTATTAAAAGGCAACAGATGCAAGAAAGATTAAAAATTAATAATTCAAATWATTGCATCCCGGCTATTTTTTCCACTTTTTTTTTTTCTATCTTCTCACCATGCTTTGCGAAGGTTTTTTTCTACCAGAGCAGGAAGATATTTACGTGTATTTATCCGTCTAAGTGCCGGGGTATGTATATACACATACACCCTGCTTTTGAACAGATTATATTTTGCTGCCTGTACTTGTGTGTCAGGAGCCCGCGCCTCCCTGGATTCGAATCGCTTGCTAATACCYGGCTAAGTCTGGAAAGACATTTTAGGGACATATCAAATGTTGATTTAAAAAATAATAATAATAAAATTCGGGAGCAAAATAAAATGTTTCGCGCAGCTCGGCGGAGTTTGCGAACGTCGCTGGCTCCGCTGGGAAGCGTCTTCGCCGGCTGCTGCATTTTCCAGGCAGCCCAAGGCTGACCCGCTGCTACCGTTTCCGAAGGAGCGTCGCGCCGGGGGAAACTAATAAAATAACGTTTAGCGCGCGAGGTAGGTTCTGCTCCAGGGGGTCGAAAATTAAATCCTTCGATAGTGAGCAATATAGCCGGGAAATCATTAATTTTAGGGAAAAAAAAAAAA